ACCTTACTGCATTTTTGGTGGGAGTGTAAACTTATTCAATCACTTTGGAAAGCAGTATGGAGGTTCCTCAAAAGACTCCACATAGAGCTCCCCTGTGACCCAGCAATCCCACTTTTGGGCATTTACCCAAATGATCACAAACAAGACTATACTAAAGCTACCAGCACAACTATGTTTATTGCAACATTATTTACCATAGCTAAAATATGGAACCAGCCCAGATGCCCCTCAGTAGATGAATGGATCAAGAAAATGTGGTATATATATATACACACAATGGAATTCTATGCCTCCATCAGAAAGAATGACATTGCCCCATTTGTTAGGAAATGGAAAGACTTGGAAAAAATTATATTAAGTGAAGTAAGCCAGGCCCAAAGTAACAAAGGTCCCATGGTTTCCCTTATTTGCAATAACTAGTATATGTCTGAGTCAAGCAGAACGGTCAGGTAAGTTGATGTTAGGAAAATGAACCTCAAGTTAAGGACTTAAATGTTTTTTTCTTGCTTGCTATTGTGTCTAATATATGTATTTTTTTTTTTTTTGTGGCTTTGTATGTCCCTCCCCCACGGTATAACCTGTTTTCACTGTATTTGATGTTGGTATAATTTGTGGAGGGAAAGGGAAAAAAGAAATTGTTTAAATAGGGATATAGGTGGACCTATTGCAACAATGAGATGTACAAGTCATTATGTCGAAAAATGGACTTTACAACTTTGCTGTGGGGGGGAGGGGGAGAAGGGGAGGATGAAAGGGAGGGATGGGATGGGGAAACAAAGGAGGAGGCAACAATGCTTGATAAGAAATGCACTCATTACCTTGCCCATGTAATTGTAACCCCTCTGTATGGTATTTTCACAATTAAAAAAAAAGACTTTTGCAAATCTTGCCTTTTCTTGATACACAATTAACTAATAGTTTTATTCTGGCTTTAGTTAAATTTTAGAACTCAAAACCATTTCATGACATGTTGCCTCGTACCTATAATCACACTCTGATCTTCACATAACTAGAAAATGCTGGTACTGAAGCTGTGGCTCAGGTGATAGAGAGCCAATAAAAGCTGAGAGTGTAAGGCTCTGAGCGTAAGCCTCATAATCAACACAAAGTAAATAAAGTAAGTTTCCAGGTACCAGAAGTCAGAGGTTAAGGCTTTATTTTCTTATAGCATCCAAACAGAATAATTAATTGTAGTCCTTCCATTTCACCTATCATGAGTATGGAGATAGTGAAGTTTCCCTTCATTGTAAATGTCTCTGGAACTTATTTTGCATGTGTGATAAAGGATGGAATTGTACTCACCTCTTCCAGCCAGAAAGATGTCATTTTATTTTTCTTTTAAAAGTGTCCCTTTGCTAAAACGCATGAATTTAAAACACTGCAATGATTTTATGTCTCATAACTGCTTCAACTTAAAGAGATACTTTTTATTTTGTTGTCAGATGCGTTCATATTTAACATTTACAGACAGGATCTGGTAATCCTGAATGCTAAAAGACTACATAAAATTTTTACAAAGTTTATTCCTTAAGGGCAGTAATGTTCAAGCATCATTCTATATAAATATATTAGTAGGGGGCTGGGAAGGTGGCTCAGTGGTAGAGTGTTTGCCTTGAATGCATGAGGCCCTGGGTTCGATTCCTCAGCACCACATAAGCAGAAAAAGCTGCAAGTGGCACTGTGGCTCAAGTGGTAGAGCACTAGTCTTGAGCTGAAGAGCTGAGGGACAGCACCAAACACCAGAGTTCAAGCCCCACGACCAAAAAAAAAAAAAACTGTAGTAGGGAAATAACTGATTTTTACTTCAAAGTGAACATGAGCACAATTTTATTCAGTTATATTTTAACAACAATTCTTGTTGAAAAATTTGTAATTGAAAGTTTGCCAGTAGTTCCCAAATATGAAGACCTGCGTCTTGTTAAGAATCAGGTGAATGATGAGAAAGGGGTAACATGAATCAAAATGTAGTGTACTCATAAGCTGACATGTTGAATGGAAAACTCACCTACTTAAAGGCAATAATAATGATGATGTTAAGTCAGCCTCAACAAAAGTTAACATTTTCTGAAGATAAGACATTTGGGTGAAAGGAATCCTGTCAGTAGTCATGAAGATAAAAAGACTAAGTTTGGAGGAAGGAATCTGATCTTTGGAGACTCTGGTAGATCAAGAGAAGTCACTTGGGATTCCCTGTGTATGCAATCAATCTCATTAATTGACCTTTTATTTCTGACATCATGAATATAAATGTAGGGACCAGTCATACACATAAGAGCAAAGGACCACAAATATCAGTACCACAGAACACAATGAGATCACAAATATACTGTCACTTGGATAACGTGGACACTTGTTGCTAGTCTGGTTATTCAGAAAATACCAATTATACAGTTTACTTTGTTAAGACTTTCAGAGTTCTGACTCGTTCATTGCTTGGATTATGCAACTGACTGAAAATACTCATTGTGTTAGTTCACCAAATTTACTTTAGTTTTTAGAGATTTAGGAGAAAACAAAACAAAACCAAAAAAAAAAAACCAGTGGCTGAGTTTTTTTTTTTAACTCAAGCACAAAACTAAAAATAAGTTACTAAGGAAAACATTTTTAAATGGTCAACATGTAATGCAAGACACATCTCTAGTGCCACTAAGATCTTTGCGTGCTTTGGCAATGCATACACTGCCAATGGGAAGGGGTAACAGAACCTTACATGGAAACCACTGAGACTCTTTACAAGCTACACATCTCACACATAAGCCATGGGTATCCACATTTTGAATGTACATATTGCATGACATCTTTTATAAGTAAATGAGGAATGAAATAGATTTTTTTTTTTATCAGAGGCCATCCACTTAAAAGTTGTTTCAGGGGTTGGGAAGGTGGCTCAGTGGTAGAGTGCTTGCCTTGCATGCATGAGGCTCTGGGTTCGATTCCTTAGCACCACATACGCAGAAAAAGCTGGAAGTGGTATTGTGGCTCAAGTGGTAGAGCACTAGCCTTGAGCTGAAGAATTGAGGGACAGCGCCCAGGCCCAGAGTTCAGCTCCCACAACCGGACCCCCACCCCAAAAAAAGTTGATTCATTGCTCAAACTGATGAGATTTTTTTTTTCTTTCCTGATACACATGCTATATACAAAGTTCTGGCTGGATGTATGGTAGTCAAATATTGGGATACACGAAATCTTAAGTTTGCCATCGGTTGATAACACAGAAAAACATACATAAACTTCAAGAAAGAGAAGACAATGGTACAAAAGGATCCACAGGGCTTATCAGATCATGCTAATTTTTTGTAGGCAAAAAGAGAAATCTTTATTAAATTGTATTGGTTTCGAGACTGGGTTATTACACTATAGGTTAGCTAGTGCTATTAGTTGAGAATGGCTCCTCACTTACGACATTGAAATGACTTACCCTACATATAAGTGCTGCTTTATACAGTGTTTAATCTGCATTATTTGATCCTTACATTTCAAAGAAAACTGTGACACTATGTATATGTGCAACTAAATATTGACAATAATATGTTACATATTATTCACCATTGAATATACTTATCAAATTGTAAGATCAAACCCTCTTAGTTTTCATAAAGCTGCCTTAGAAGAAATCTTTTTATACATGGAAAGTAAGTACATCTGAAAGTCAATGACATGTTACTATATATTGATATATGTTTTGTGAAATCATTAACATAAAGTATTAAAGCTTTCCTTTTAAGGTACATTGTTTCTATGAATACAATAAAGCAGGTAACAAGGAATCACCTTCCCACCTCAGTTTCCAATTGGTTACTGACACATTCAAAACCAGACAACGTCCAAGTCATTTCCATTTTTCCCTCTATTGCACATTAGTCAATAATTCTCTAGCGTAATATAAATCTAGAGGATATTATGGAATTTTCAACTTTAAGAGTTTCCATGGGCTTTTCTAGTTTTCCTACAGGAGTTACATTATTTCAAGCCATATCTAAAATAGGAAAAAAAAGAAATTAAAGCATCCATATGTTTAATTGTGAAGAACAAAATCGTCTGGTATAAAATAAAGATGAGTGTCAACTCAAATCCAACTGTTATAGTTCAAGCGGTGGCATCTTTTGTAGACATCTCTGGGGGTGGGGTTTGGGGTGAGGAATTCTTTCTGGGAACAGACTAACTTGGTTACCCGGGATCATTTTTTGCCTTCAAAGCAAAGTCCAACAAACCTGGGATAAAATAAAAACTCTGTTAAGAATGGGTGGTTTGGTTATCTTTTTTTTATGTATAATGCTTATGCAAAGGGGTAAGCCAAAAACAGTCTTCCCAACCACACTTAAAAATTGATTCAAAGAATAACTGAGGATAAATTTCAGTGTTATTTATAAAAAAAAAACTTTCACAGAAGTGAAGGAAATACACCTTTGTACAATGATGCTTACCATGGTAGAAATACCTATTGTCAATAAAATGTTAGCACGAGATTTAAAAATGACTATTACAGCACCACATCAGAGAACTATGTTAACAGCAAAATGATCTACTATTATTTTCCATGTAAGTCTTTTCCTAGAAATAAATGGGGAAGTGCTTTTTCCTAACCCTAATTCCTACTAAAACATTTCCTGATGTGGAGCAAAAAAGACATTAAAAATGACAGATTAAAAAAAAAGAAGACATTCATGCATTTAAGCAACCATTAGTCTCTGACTGCAATATAAGGCAGAACATTAATCATTTGCACAATTACGACTTTAGCCTCTTAAACTCTTTTATTTTAGTGCTTTTCATGACAAGGACATGATAGGCCTTGTAAATTTAGCCATTGAGATGTGTTTGCCATACATTAACTTAGACAGACTAGGCTGTTTTTTTTTTTTTTTTTCAACACCGATTTTACAACAGAAAAATAAATGCATCCTGTTGGAGAAATGATGATAAAAAGTAAACAGAGAGGGTCTTATAAGAGTTGGTCACAAATGATGCCGTTTGGAGAGTTGCAACCCAATCACGTGTGCTTATGTGTCATCCTCAGTCTTAATGATGTGGAAAAGAGTGACATTGAAGAGGACTTGGTGACCATTGTTCCAGGCGTAAAGAGCTCGATCTCTGGCATTGTAGTCAAGCATGGATATGTGAAAGTACTGGTTGTGGAAAGGGATGTCTGTGTACTCATACGTGGAGGTTTTGGTGGAGTAGGAGTAATACACCTTGGCTCCGGTCAAGTGGGAGTTGGTGACATAGAGTGTGCCGCAGATCATGAACGATTCCCCCGCGCTCCTCTTGGGATAGCCGGTGCTCCAGCTCTTCATCACCTCTAGGGTATCTTGGTTAAGTTGGCTGATGACAATATTGCCTGCGTTCTGGTTAGTTGCGTAGACGGCCCAGAGCCCAATTTCATCAGCCATTAGGTCAATGTCTGAGAACCCACCCCACGTGTAGGGGTAAACGTTGTGGAAACCAGCATACTCCAAGCTCCGTTGGGCCAGCACCCTCCCCAAGTCAAAGTTGTATTTGATGACGATGTTACTCTGGTATTTGTTAAAATAGAGCGAGCCGTTGTACACAACGTGGTTAGTTCCTGCCCACTTGAAAGGGAGATTGTAAGTCCTGGATTCCGCTCCACTGACGAAGTCTGCCATTGACTTGTACTCACGGACGATTTTATTGTTAGTGTAGCTGTCCATGTACCAGACCTGAGGAGAAGGAGAAGGAAAGCAAAGGGACTTGAAGACATCGTCTACTTCGTCGAGAATTCAAAAAGTAAAGGTAGTGAGAGTCAGGCACGCTAATATCACAAACAGCTTTCAAAGCCAAATTACCCTGCTGTTTAACTGCTGCCCAGTAATGTGAAGTTATTGTGGGATTTTGTAAAAAAAATAATATGAGCATGGTCTATGTGGAAAAGAAACAACTGAATTTATTGCCTTGAATTCTACCTTCTGTTTCTTTTTGGGTTTTTTTTGAGAGTTTTTGGTAATTATTTTTTATTAGTGTGTGTGTATACATATGTCTATATATGTATATATATATATTCCAAAGTAAAACATATCATCTGATTTATGATGGAATAAGATATCAGTGATATCTGAAAATTGTAATTCATTTATTTTTTTTAAGTGCCGGTTCTGGGGCTTGAACTCAGGGCCTGAGCACTTTCTTCAAGTTTTTGTGCTCAAGGTAAGTGCTCTACCACTTCAATCATAGCTCCACTTCCAGTTTTTTTGGTGTATAATTGGAGATAAAATCTTAGACTTCCTGCTTTGGCTGGCTTTGAACTGTGATCCTTAGATCGCAGCCTCCTGAGTCACTAGGAGTATTGGAATGAGCCACTGGCACTGGCTTGAAAATTGTTTTATTCTCTCTTTTACTTTGAAAAATGCCTGGTTGAATTTTACCTGTTCTACTTTATGCATATCACAAAGCCTTTAAGCAACATTCTATGAAGCAGCTACAGATACAACCTTTTAATGAAAGTATTTTACTAATTTAGTAACTAATCTCATTGGTTGAAATCATTAACTGATACTAAGTTGTGTGCTAAATAGAGATATGTTGAATTTCTAATGTATTCTATTAAACTCTGGAGGCATTACCAACATTTGAAAACATCTTCTCAAAGTTTCAGTGTTATTTCTTTTAAAAGTAATTTCTAGATCCCCAGGATATATTAATTTATTTAGTCAATTAGTTAGTTCCTGACATTTTCATTATTTTGTGTTATTTTTCCATACTAAAGACCATGATTCATTAAAAATATATAGTAAATTTTATGTGCTTTTTGCTGGCACTTTTCAAACAAATAACAGGTTCACCTCAATGAAAAATAGAATATACAATGAAACATTTTACTAACTGTTGGTTGCTATATACTTTTCGAAATGGTAGTATTATCAAATAGGAGATACATGCAAATTATGTGACACTTTCAAGTTAGAACTAATATATCGGAAGAGAATGAATAGTCAGGAGAAAAAAAGTGTAAATAAAACATAATTTTAAGTCTAAGTATTTGTAGAATCAACATACTCTGTTATTTTTTTCAGATGCTAAAGGATCCGTCATCCAAGCACCAAATCGAGTTCCAGAGGTCTTGACTGTAATGGGGCCTGTGATTTTCATCAATTTGCCACATGCTGAAACAAGAGGAAGATAAATATGTTGTATGAACAGAGCAATGATTCCAACACATACACTCATGTCAAGAGTAAAGTATGGCATGGAAAGACAGATTAAATCTCTGGATTTATGTCGAATATTCTGTATGGCTGAGCTTTTATATTCACACATTTCAGCGTCCTTGGAACCATCACTTGCTTTTTCAATCTGTAGTTCTAAAGTGTGGGTGATTTTTAATGGGGAAATGACTGGTATAATCTGTAAAGAAATGAATGAGGAAAGTCATCATCATTATACCAATTTAACAGCTGCTTCATCCAAAGTAAAGAAATCAAAATGTTAGATAATTGTCCAGGAGCTTCCTATTTTTTTTCCCTTCACCTTGTGACTGTAGATAATTTACATATGCCAGAACTCTAAAAGCTTTCAAATTTTCAAATTGTATCAGAATACAAAATATAGAATGAGAAGTTCCTGTGAAAAATATCTTTTATATATATATATAAATAAATATAGCATGTATGAATGTGTATAATACAATAAAATAACAGTTTACCTGAAAAAGGTATATAACAAGACCTGACAATGCAGTAGTTAATATATAAAGACAAAACTTTCAAAATCTCAACACATTTTCATTTTTACAACATATTACATGATCATATTTACATTTATGACTACAAAGTCATATGATGTAAAATACTTGAACTGCAACACATAATAAAAATGGATGTTTTAATTATATTTTTATCACCTTTATTGTGAATAATGCACAAAGAATAGAAAGGAAATCATAAATAGCAAAAAGCCCAAGATAAACCTATTTTGTATGAGATTTTCAGATAGCAAAGTTTAAAAGTGATTTAGCTATACACGTTGTGAATGATAATCTGATTGTTTATAAATGATGATCTTTGGTCTAAAGAAAAGAATACTCATTCCTGTTTAGTTCGTCTATTTTTTCATTTTATTTTTTCTTTGCTTTGCTTTTCCTTTTTTAGGGTCCTATTTGTTCCATGCTTTTTCTGTCCTCCTCTGCCTTTTCTTAGACTGGCAAATGTCTGTTTAATTCTTATTATATTTGGAATTCTCTTGTATTTGGAAGACAAAGAACACTAAAGAAAAAAAGGAAAGACAAAGTAAGATTAGCTTTGAGATTATTTTGATTACTATTTGTAAGTGTTTCTCAGAGCAATATTCATAGTCAACAGGACACTAAACCAGATGGTTAGTAAGGTGTTGTGTGCTTTCTGAAGAAATTGCTTAAGAACTAGCCAGGACAAGGGCTCATCCCTGTTCCCTCCTATTTGGGAAGTGGAGACAGAGATGAGGAGGTTAATTTTTTTTTTTTTTTTGTCGGTCGTGGGGCTTGAACTCTAGGCCTGGGCGCTGTCCCTCAGCTCTTCAGCTTAAGGCGAGCGCTCTACCACTTGAGCTACAGCGCCACTTCCGGTTTTCTGGTGGTTTTATTGGAGATAGGAGTCTCACGGTCTCTCCTGCTCGGGCTGGCTTTGAACCTCGATCCTCAGATCTCAGCCTCCTGAGTAGCTAGGATTACAGGCGTGAGCCACCAGCGCCCGGCATGAGGAGGTTAATGATTGGGGACCATCATTAGTCTAAACTAATAGCTGGACAGGACAGAGTGGTACACACTTGTCAGCCCAGCTATTTAGGAAGCACACATAGTAGACACATCTTCTTCTATTTATGTGTAAAAAGTAAATGAGACCTTTTGTGTCCCAGAATGACCATTATGCTGTGGACCTTGAGAACATGTGCTCCAGAACAGACAGATGACTCCAAAAAGGATGTCTTAACACAATCTCATGGAGATGTAAATGAATGCAGCCTTTATAAAAACCAATGTGGAAGTGCCTCATAAAATTCAGAGTAGGGCTGCCATTTTATCCATCCATCCCATTACTGGTGATAGATCCACGGGAGATGAGTTCCAAATGCTGAAGAGACCTCTAAACTCCTCTATTCACTGCAGTGCTGTTCTTGATACACAAGAAATAGAAACAGTCCAAGCTTTGATCAACAAAAAGTAAATGAAGAAAATACAGCAATATAATGGAAAGCTATATAGCTAAAAATATTGAATCATGACATTTAGGAGGACCTGGATAGAACAGGAGATCATTATGTTGAGTGAAATAAGCCAGACACAGAAAGATAGGTGCCAAGTTATTTCACTTAGATCGAATCTAAACTAGTTGATTGTAGAGAGGTTCAGGGTAAAATAGTGGTTATGAGAAGTTGGGGAAAAGAGAGAAAGGAATATTGAGAGATGGGACAGCTAGTAGTAACTTAGAGTTAGCAGGCACAAGATGCTCTTGTATGCTATTAACCAGGGCAGTGACTATAGATTACCAGAATTTACAATTTAATTGACTAAAAGCAAAAATTTTGAAAATTTCCTCATGAAGAAATAATAAATGTTTGAAAAGATACACATGTTTAATCTGATTTAAACATTGCATAATGTATACCTGCATAGAATTATCATGTAACACTATGCACAATGTTTTCACATGCATGCAAGCCAATAGAATTTTTTTTATTTTCTTTACCAGTCCTGAGGTTTGAACTCAGACAGAGTCTGCAGTCCTTTTTGCTCAAGGCTAGTAATCTACCACTTGAGCCAAACCTCCATTTCCAGCTTTGTGATAACTGATTAGATTTAGGAGTCTTAGAGACTCCTGCCTGGTCTGAGTTTGAATCATGATTCTCAGATCTCAGCTTCCTGAGTAACTAAGGTTCTGGTGTGAGCCACCAGTGCCTAGAAATAAAATCAATTATTAAAAGAGAGTGGACTATTGAAGTCTTATTTGCAATATCTAGTATATGTTTGAGTCAAACAGAAAAGGTCAGATAAGGTGATGTTAGGGAAATGAACCCTAAGATATGTAATTCAAATGTTTTTTTTTTCTTTCATGCAATTGTTTCTAATGCATTTATAAGATTATTTCTTTGTTGCTTTGTATGTCCCTCCCCCACAGTATAACCCCTGCTTTCACTGTATTTGATGTCGGTATAATTTTTTGAGGGGAAGGGGAAAAACAAATCGTTTAAATAAGGATACAGGTGGACCTCTTGCAACAATGAGAAGTACAAGTCCTTATGTCGAAAACGAACTTTACAACTTTGGTGGGGGGGGGCAGGGAAGATTGGGTGGGGGGGGTGGGGGGGAGGATGGGAAGGGATGGGAAGGGGAAACAAAGAAGAAGGCTACAATGCTTGATAAGAAATGTACTCATTATCTTGCCCATGTAATTGTAACCCCTCTGTACAGTATTTTCACAATAAAAATTAAAAAAAGAGTGGACTATTAGATAAATGCCTAGGAATGGAATTGCTAGGTCATAGGGGAGCTCTATGTTTATTTAGTCTTTGAAGAATCTCCATACTGCTTTCCAGAGTGGTTCCCACCAACAGTTCCCTTTTGGCCACATCCCAGCCAGCATTGGTTATTGTTGTTTTCTTGATAATGGCCATTCTAATTGGTCTGAGGTGATTGGATCTCAATGTTGTTTTGATTTGTGTTTCTTTTATGACCAGAAGAGTTGAACATTTATGTGTCTGCTGACTATTCTTACTTTTTCTTCTGAGAAGTCTCTCTTGAAGTTGTTAGTCCATTTATTAATTGTGTTGCTGTTTCTTAGAGGGCTTATTTTTGTACCTCTTTGGGAGGGCAAGGAGGGGCACAGAAATGGCAGGTCAAAGGGTGAACAAATGCAGCAATGATATTCACTAGATACTATGCTGCAAATGAACTATACAACTTGTGAAGGGTGGGGTGGGAGGAAAAACTGGGAGAAAGTGAGGGAAGGAATGACACTGGTCAAAAACAAATATACTTAATACCTGATCTATGTAACTGTAACTTCCCATACCTCACCTTACACACATGCTCTCTCTCTCTCCATCTCTCTCTCTCTCTCTCTCTCTCCATATATATATATATATACATATATGTAAAATATAGATTGATAGAGATAGATAGATAGATAGATAGATAGATAGATAGATAGATAGATAGATAGATAGATAGATAGACAGACAGATATTGTCAGTTGTGAGGCTTGGACTCTAAGCTTGGTGATGTCCCTGAACTCTTCAGCTCAAGGCTAGCTCTCTACCACTTGAGCCACAGCCCCACTTCTGGTTTTCTGGTGATTTATTGGAGATAAATAGACTTTTTTTTTATTGGAGATAAATAGACTTTTCTGTCTGAGCTGGCTTGCAACCGTGATCCTCAAATCTCAGCCTCCTGAGTAGCTAGAATTATAGACATGGGTCACCAGCGCCTGGTTAATAACAATCAATTTTTTTTAAAGATGGAAGTAGAGCTATAGCTCAGGTGGTATAGCACTAGCCTTGAGCACAAAAGCTTAGGAACAGCATTCAGGCCATGAAACCAAGCCCCCAGGACTGGGACAAATAAAGACTATGACATTAAGCTGGAAAAGCAAGGAAACAAGCTTAAAAAAGAGAGAGTGGAATTGTTCTGCAGAGATACTAAGACCCTCTAGGAAAAGCTGGCATGCTGAAGGCAATTATTGATGTATATAACAGACTTTGTTTAGCCTAACTCTCCTTATATATATATATATATATATCCTTTGATTCAGACTAATATTATAATACTGAATTTAGAGAGGAAGGGACACTGTCTGAGTTCATCATTCAGCTTCAAAGGTACAAGAAAAGCATCGTTGTAGCACTGTAAGCATGTGTGTTTAACTTGCACCATCAGCTTATGAGCTGACTGTAGAGCATCTCACAGATCTTTCTTCTGCTCTGTGAACATAGAAAAGACAAAATGTTTCCAATGATAGAAGACAGATAAAAATTGCATTGTTAAGAAAATAAAATTGTGACAAGAGATGGAAATGTAAAAGGCTGTCGACATATTTTGTTAAAATATGGTAAAAGATTTTTCCTGTACTTGATGACAAAATAATGGAGAAATAATAGGACCTATATTCACAAAATTGATATTGGTCAGACTATG